GGATGGAAAAAGGGGTCGATTGCAGGGTCAATGTAAACAGGAAAAGAATACAATTCAAGATTGAATGCTGATCCTTGTGATATGAAAGGGTAGTCTCGAATGGAACCTACCGATATCACCAACTGAAATGTCTTGATGACCGTCATTTTTGGCCGTCTCGTTTGCAGCGCGTGCTAATTGACGTGTAATCCCCTCCTATAGGCGTATATATCAGCACGTTTGTCTCGTTTCTCGTCTATGACGCGTGCTCACCGCCGCCAAAGCGAGAACAAAGACGGCTTCTCTCGAAATCGCAACATGCTCGTCTGCACAAAACACGCATCGTCAGCCTAAAAACCATCTATCCGAGTTTAAAAGATAGAGTAAAGAATAGGACACTCACTGCTCATTTTGACAATCTTTTGTACTAAACCTAGTCGATAGCTCGGTATACCGTCCTTCTCCACTGTCATCGCCGTCCCGTTATTACTCCACTTGGGCGACATGACGTTGCTCGTGGTAGACTTTTGCGACTCTTCAGATGGTCGCTCATCGTCTTCCTTGCCAGCCGCCCTCCCCGCATTTTCCGCCTTTTCTGTTTTTATTTTTGTTTTTGTTGTTGTTGTTGTGGCTGCCGCGGGGGGCCCTGTCAATGCACCAACAGAGTTGGAGGTCGTGGATGTGGAGTTGTGCTTGTGGGCTGAAGATGCAGAGGTACGAGGGGGATCCAAGTGGTGGTTATTCGGAGGTGGTGGTAATGCATCGGATATCATTCGTTCGTCCATGTTGTCATCTACGTCGTCGTCGTGTTGTGGAGGTGTAGAAATGTGCTGCCGTGCTTTGGAGGACATGATGGTGCTGGAGGAGAGATGGGTTTGGATGGGTGCGTTGGGTGGGGGTGGGTGGAGGAAGAGGGGGGAGAAGAAAGGAAAGAGAGTGTCCTTTGGCTGAGCGGCTAAAGTGGGTGATCGAGGAACAGACCACCCATTCAATCAAATGGCCCGCAGCGATCCGCAACACATCTAGATGCGAGTGTCGAACCAAGCACAAGCTGAATAAGTTTATAGTGATCGGGCCAGTATTCGTTGTAGAAATGGAATTTCATAGTCGTACTTGTACATGTATGCAGAAAGCAAATCCTATGACGAATATACAGGTTGGAATGCTATAATAACATACCATAAAGTTATCCCAGCATAGTAATGAATCAAGAAAGCTCTATGGAACATTTCTTGTAATGTCTCCTATCAATATTTTAAGCCCATCCACCCAAGAGGACAGCACCAATCGCGGTGCTAATGACCGCGGTCAGTCCAAAACCGGCGACTTTGGTTTTTCCAGCTGCGTTGATGATCGGTAGACCTGCGACAAGAGTATTGTTGACGCATTGCAAAAAGGCTGAATTGGCCAACAAGGGTGGCAAACCGGTCGAATTGCCCCATCCCACATCCGTCGTCTCATTGAGCGGCGCAATGGAATACATGTTGGTATAATTGGTATAGGCGAGCGCAAACGAGCTCGCTCGATAGTACTGGAATATGTTCTGCACCTCGGGAGGTGTGGTCGAACTATTGGCGTGTGGCGTCGTATCGTTATTCGTGCCGAGAAAATCGGTGAGGTCAATTGTCAACGGTTGGACATCTGTCACATTCACGATCCCACACGAAAAGGTCTCGCAGTCCTTGCACCCACTCAACACCTGCAACATGGCCGTCACGCTCTCCCGGTCGCCCAACAACCAATACGTCTCGTTGTTCGCGGCCTCTTGGCTAATGAACCATTGCGTCGCGTTGGGTGCGATCGCAGACTGTACGAGGTCCCCGCCTGGTCTCAACTGGGCGAGCGTGCTGTTCTCCCCATACTCGTGCGACACGCCATAATGCGGGTAGTAGATTGGCCAAAAACCAAATGGAAAGGGGAGACCAAACGTGCCTGTTCGATAGCTGCTGCCTGTGGTGTAGCCGTAGGGGTATCCACTCCCGTAACGAGGAGTGCCCGCGACCGCGTCGCGCGTTCCACCTCCCATCAGTCGACCAGAGAAGGGAGAGGAGGAGCCGAGGGTGAAGGACTTGCCTCCCCCATAGGAGAAATAGTCGGCTTGCTTGCCAGAGCCAAAAGAGGAGACTGAGGAGACTGGAGAGCGGCCTGTGCCACCGCTGCCGCCTAGTGTATTTCCACTGGTACCAGGGCCTCTCCCTGTACGAGTACCGGATGTTCCACCACTTCCTCCACCACCACCTCCACGCCCACCTCCTCCTCCTCCACCTCTTCCTCCACCACTAGCGCGTTTAGAAAAGTTGGTGACGTGTAAATCAGTCATGTCGACGATTAATGTAAAGGTATTAGCCCAAAGGGAAATTAGGATGAATGTGGTAGAGACGAAGTGGGGCTTTTGTTGAGGTGAGTTGCAACAAAGGTTGATCCGGCCAAGACCTCGCCTTTCCTCCCTTTATACCATTACATAATCTCACCCTGCATACGCCCTGTTCTCCAATAAACATGCGTGTTTTATGTCCGCCTCTGCGATCGTTTTCCGGTCGAGTTGGGGTCGAACTCTATGGGCGCTATCGTCAGATTCAAAAAGATTTGGCGTAGAACTGACAAATTCGAGGTTCGATCGCTCACTTTTTGCGGGGAAATTCTGGGAATATTATAATACATTATCATACATGCACGTCACGTCACCAGCCTCTCGAACGGTAACCTGATACTTTGAACGGGAGCCACAGACCGTGAAACGACGGGTAAAACACTCCAAGTCACTGTACGAGCTGTATGCACGACTACTGCGACTACAGCCATGCGTTCAAGAGAGCAGCGCCAACCGCAGCACAAACCACTGCACCCAACTGGAACCCCACCACCTTGGTCTTACCCACAGCATTCAAGATAGGCAGTCCATCCACCAGCGTATTGTTCACGCATTGAAGAAACGCAGAGTGCGTCAGTAACTCAGGCAACGCGGTCGAGTTCCCCCACCCCACCTCCGTCGTCTCGTTCAACGGCGCAACAGCATACGTATTCGTATAATTGGTATAAGCAAGTGCGAACGAGCTTGCTCGATAATACTGGACAATGTTCTGGACTTGAGGGGGGGCCGTCGAGCTATTGACGGGAATGACAATATTATTCGACATGGTGAAATTGCCAAGGTCGATAGACATAGGCTGCACATCCGTCACATTGACGATCCCACACGAGTAGGTCTGACAATCCTTGCACCCGCTCAGGATCTGCAGCATCGCGGTCAGGCTCTCCCGGTCGCCAAGAAGCCAATACGTCTCGTTATCCGCCGCTTCTTGGCTAATGTACCATTGTGTTGCGTTGGGTGCTATTGCAGCTTGTACGAGGTCGCCCCCTGGTCTCATTTGTGCCACTGTCGTGTTCTGGCCGTACTCGTCCGAGTGACCATAATGCGGGTAGTACAGTGGCCAAAAGCCGAATGGGAATGGGAGACCAAATGTACCGGTTCGGTAGCTGCTGCCACTGGTGTATCCGTAGGAGTAGCCACTGCCGTATCTGGGTGTACCAGCGACCGACTCGCGCACACCACCAC